TTAATTTTATTTTGTTATAGTCTTGTATTGTTGTTATTTTTCTAATTATGGTTTGGTTTTTTATTTGTATCATAATCCATTTGTTTTTAGTTATATTTTTGTTGTTGATTGTATATGGGTTTGGTATTTGTAGTGTTAGCTAGTTTGTGTGCTGAATTTGTATATCAATTATTGTTGTGATTATTTTGAACCATGCTAGTTCTCTGCCTGTTGGTATTTTGTATGTTGCGTGTGATGTTTCTTTCCAGTTAATTGTTTGTGTATTGTTTGAGTTTGTTAGCTGTTCGATAAAGTTGATTTTGTGCTGATTGAGTTTGGTCTTTAGTTGTTGGGCATTAATTTTGTTTGTATATAGTGTTGGATTTGTGAGTATCTTGTTTATGCTGTTTCCTTTGTTTTGAAGAGGCTTAGGCCAATTGCTGATATTGTTTGTTATTGCGAAGTGGTTATCGTATAGTATCCTGATACTTTTGGCTGTTGTTGTATTATGTTATATTGTGGGAAGTATATATGTTGGATCAGCCAGTATTGATGTATTTGTATTCGCCGCATTTTGTATTTGTTGTATACGTATATATAGTGATGAGTTGCATAAGTCTGGGTCGTTTATTTGTTGTGTTATTTTGCTTATATGGTGTTAGCATTGTATATTCCATAGTGTCCTGAGTGTGTATATTCTGTGGTTATAGAATGTTGAGTTGGGTATAGCTCTGGACATGCCAGCCTTGTGTTTGGTGATTGAGGTATATTTATTTGTAAGTTTATCGCATTGTGGTTGGGCATATATATAATTTTGTGTTCGATATTCGAAGCGTGTTAAAATGACTGTGTTGATTATATATATCGCTTGTTTCTCTGTGATTGTTGATTTGTGGAGTAGCTTTAAGGCTTCTTCGATTTCTTTTGTTATGTTTTGTTGTATTGTTGTTTTGTTGATGTGGGTATTGTAGTAACATCCAAGGAATCGGAAGCAGTATTTAGGTGATATTGGATATATATTAGTATTATTGAATGTGATATGTACGAGTTCCTCTTTGTTTTTTGGTTTGTAGTTGGTGGCTAGTATGGATTTGTGTGGGTTGACTGTGATTCCTGTCATTTTGTAAAAAGAATTAGCTGTGTCAATTAGTATTTGTAAGTTTGGTTTGTTTTCCGCTATTCATAACATATCGTCTATGTATGCGAGTACATTTTGTTGTTTGCTGAGGCATGTGTGTTATATATGTGTTGGTTGTGGTGTTGTTGTGTTCATTGTGTATATGGGGTGGTTTTTGTTGATCCGGGTTAGCAAGGGGTCGTAGTATATTCTTCATAGTAATGGGGTTATGGTTTCCCCTTGATCTATTCCATCTTGAACGTAATAGTTGTTGGTTAGTCCATGGTTTGTAATGATATTATTGTGTCTATGGGATAGTATATTGTTTATAATGTTTGTTATAGGTTCCGGTATTTTGATGCGATGTAGTGCTTTGATTAAAAGTAGTATGTGTACTGAGTTATAAGCTTTGCTCATGTCCTGCGATAACAACCATAGTTCTTTTTTGTTTGTTTGAGCATCTTCTATTATATGTTGAAGTATATGTATTGGTGTTGCGGTAGAGATATTTGTTAAAGCTACGTAGTTGTTAGGATTCAATATGTTGTATTTGGATAGGATGGGGTTGAGTCTTCATACAATGATTTTTGTAAGGAGTTTTCTAGTATGTTCGATTAGTGTAATTAGGCATGTTTGATTAGATCTCCTATAAATGTTGATTTTTTTGATATGGAGTATATTGTACTATATTTCTATGCAGTTAGCATGTCATGTAGTATTAGACAGTTGTTTAATAGATTTAAAATTGTGGCTTTTGCTTGGGGGCCTAGATGTTTTAACATTTCATTTGATATTTTTGAGGGCCTAGTAGCCTTTGTGTTGGATGCTTCTTTGATTATCATTTCTAGTTCGAAGGGTGTGATCTTTGTTATGATTGTATTATACCATGTTGGGGCTATTGTTTGAATTGGTTTGTATTTATCTGCCCATTCTTTCCATAGTTCTGTTTGAGTTGGGTTTGATTTTGTCCAGTTTTTGAAGGTTCCTATATTGCGGTTTTGATTTTCTGAGGTTCTGTGATTATATTGTTAGGTGTTTGGATATTGTGTAATATTACAGAGTCTGTGTATTTTTTAAGTACACTTTTGATCATTTTAGATATATTGTTTTGGAAGTTTTGGTATCTGCATTCAATACAATTCTTTATATGTAGGTTTTTTGCTGTTTAGTTTTCTATGTTCCTAGCTGTTTTGATTTGTTGTTGGGTTGTCTTGAGTATTGAATCTACTTCTTCTATTGTTATGTTAGGTTGTATTTGTATTTGTATATTAAATAGCTTGTTGGTTTGTTGTATAAAGTTGTGTATTTGTTCTATGTTTGTTGCTTGTTTGTGTATGCTTATATGTCTTCATGCCTTGTTTATATATGTCAGTGCCTTATGTAATTTGGTGGC